GTTTCACCTTAGCATCACCTGCCCCCGGAAGCCTTCCCCAACACTCTGGCCACATGTTGGACTTTGGGGTCCTTGCTGTGCTTCCAGAGCTTTCTAACCTTTTCTATCCACACTCTTACCACTTTGGACATAATTCCTATTCACTGGTTGGTCTCCACCACTGGCCTGAAGACTCTGTGAGGCAAGGACTCTGCCACCTTGCTCACTGCTGAATCACCAGCCTTTGGGGACAATCACAACACACAGTAGGCACAGAGGAAATATTTATTGTGGTCACATTGCTGCGAATTCTTTTTCTCTCTCTTTTCCACTTAAGTGTAAGCTCCCTGAGGACAGGGTCTAAATATTTTCCATCTTTGGATACTCAGGACTATGGACAGAGCCTGACAGAGAATAAGGAGAAGTGAGGAGCCTAACATGTTTAACCTGGAGAAGAGGTGACTGAGGAAAGAATGCAGGACCCACTCACTGTCCTTAATTATCTGAAAGGCTCTCAAACAAACCGATATAAAGCTACTCATAGTGTGATCCAGACTGGCAGCATCCACAAAACCTGGGACCTTGTCAGACATGCAAATTCTCAAGCCCTACACTAGAGCCACCAAACCAGAAACTCTGGGGTGGGACCCAGCACTCTGTGTTTTAACAAGCCCTCCAGGGGATTCCGATGGGCCCTACGGTTTGAGATGCTGGGTAACCTCCCGTCAGGCCTCTGTTGGGATTTCATGCCTTGATAATTATATTGTAGATCCATCCAGGAGAGAGAGAGACTGGAGGAGAGAGAGCCTTTCAGAACTTCCCCCACTGATCTCTGTTTTGCTGGGCTGGGGATTGGGGACGGGTGAGGGGGACATTCCTGATAGCCCAGTTCTATCTCTCCACGTGCCTGGAGGTTGGGGTTGAGAAAAGGCAGTGGGGAGAGAGTGATACTGGCAGAAGGAGGGCACCCACCTTTGTCTTTTTAATTTGAGAAAGGCTTTATGGTTGGAGAAGGAAGGTAACCTTGCAGTTGTAATAACAGCAATACCAAAAGTTAACATTTATTAAACATTTACTATGGGTCAGGCACAGTGCTAACTTACTTTGCAAGGATTTTCTCATTTGATTCTTCCAAGAGCCCTATAAAATTTGCTAATATTATCTCTTATTGAAGATGAGGGAAAAAGTGAGAAAGAAGCTAAATGACTTCCGCAAAGATCTCACCTTCACGGAGATGACATTATAATGAATATTACCAATATTTGTAAAAGCATTGATATTTTGAGGGTGAGCCTGGCATAGCCTGGCCCTGGCACATAGGCTCAGGACATGCTTATTGTAAAAATGGATAAATGAAAGATCTCATTTCATCCACTGAGGTAGATGTGGTGATTTCCCCCATACTTAGATAAGAAAGCAGACTCAGCAGAGGTAGCTGATTGTCAAAGGTCACTTAGCTATTAAGCAGATGAACTGTGATTTGACTGTGTCTTCCATCTCTAAAACCTGTGCTTATTCCCATATCATCATCCACAGTGTGGTAGAGATTATAAAGAATGGCCACAAATTCTTTGCAGCTCCTCCCATCTAGAAACTGAGTCTTTTAATCCACCTACTGGAGTCCAAGCTTGTCACTTGACTTGCTTTGGCTAATGGGATATTGGCAAATGATGATGTAAACAAAAGTTTGAGGTTTTCTTTTTCTTATTGCTGGGAATATTTTCATTACCATGTGAAGAAGCTCAGCATAGGCTACTGGAGAATGAGAGACCCTGTGAACAGAGAAGCCCCAGCAATCCCAACTGTCTCAGCCATCCCCACTGAGGCTCCAGACATATGAGTGAGGTCATCCTAGACCATCCAGTCCCAGTCGAGCCAGCTCAAAGCAGAAGCCACAAAATCTTAAGCAAATCAATGATTGTTGCTTTAATCCACTAAATTTGGGGTTGATTTGTTACACACCAAAGCTAACTGATACAAACGGTTACTATTATTTTATGCTGAACTACCTCTCTTTTTCACACTTACAACCTTGAAAAGTCACTCCTCATACTCTAGTATGCTCACACTAGAACACATGCAAATGTACACAGATGCAGATACATCCTTAGACTCAACAAACTCAGGGGAAAGAAAGGGCACCAGCTTTTACAAAACATTTTTAAAGCACATGAAGTGGGCTTCAAGAGGAGCTAGGCCCTCAAGGAAGAATTTCAAACATTACTCTGGCTGTAATTTACAGCCAGTTCATGGCTGCCCTTTGTATCATTTTTGACTGGCTTTTGTAGGGCAGTCTGGAGTAGATAAGCAGAGGAAGGAGATGGCAAAGTAATAAGGATGAGTAAAGGGTTTTCATCTGGGGAGCGTGGCCATTAGCCGACCTCAGATTTGAACACAGGGCCACAGTCTCACAGCCTCTGCCAACAAACTCCTATCAACAAGTCAACTTGAGACATTTCACCCAGGCCAGCAGGCATAAAGGACACAGCCCACCACCTGAGTAAGCCATCAATATATGCACACGGGGATGCCAGCTGACTAGCCAACTGTAGGTAGTTATTCAAAATCCAAGGCTACAGCAAAGAAAGTTCATCTCTTTCCAGAGCTTGGCACCTCTTGGATTGGCACCATCAGGTCCTGCCTGGCTTTTTAAGGAGGAGTTAGCAGCTGCCAACTGTCAGGAGCCTGAGCCCTGGCTGCTGTTCCTGCCACCTTCCCATGGTCTGCCACTGGGCCATTTCTAAGCTTTGCTCGTAGTCACAGAACATCAGCATTTAACCAACCATGAGGGGCCTGATGATTCACCCAGTGAAACAACAGAGGTGAAAAAAAACTGCTGGGATGAATAGAACAAAACACAACCAGAAGGGTCGAAGTCTGGCAGAAGAGTTGAACTACACAGAATTAACAGTGCCACATAACAGACCATACACAAGGACCTGAGAGCCCAAGAACAATGCCTGGTACAAAGTAGGTGCTCAAGAAAAATTTATCAAATGAATGAATACAAATCAGCCCAGCCACAGAAACAGGGCTTCATGTCTGTTCTCTGGTCTTACTGCAAATGCATTTGGCCCTCCTTGCTGAAACCTGGCTTTCCTTCAAAGGCCAACTCTGACCCTTGGAGCGGCACTCCAGGCTACATCTTAACTGTCAACATAAATGCTTTCTGATTACCTGAGAAACTGAGACGTGGGCCAACAGCTTTCTCTTCTAGTGATTTTAGATCAAATAAATGAGCGTCCTCCATCTAGCTCAACTATATCTTTTGATAGAAACAACTTTACATGCTAAGGCAGGGGTTAACTTACAGTTCTCTGCCTCAAAATAAAGATTTACTTATGTGTTCATTTATTTATACCTTATTTTCCTGCACAAAAGGCTTGAGATAACAATGGAAAAATATCAAATGCAGCATTCTGTTTGCAAGCAGACAAGCATGGAGAAGAAGGAAGCTTTAAAAAAAATGTTTTCCCGGCAGCCTCTTTTGACCTACACTTGGCATTCTGTGTAATATCCGTGTGCAAGAGATTGCAATGGTGGGAAGGTCATGGGTTATGCGGTGTCAGCTCAACCCCACGCAGGGGGATGTGAACCTCCAGGCAAATCGTAGCTGAACCCCTGGCCAAATGAGGTCATGAGATGGGAATGTCAATTCCAGAGAATGTATGTTTTCTGGTTTTACAATACAATTTGGGGAGGTGAAAGATCGCATCATTACAAATTCAATAGAGTTCAGAGGAGGGGGCAAGGAAGGAGAGAAGTGGGAGTAATGTTTGCCAATCTATCAAGCTCTAAGTCCCTGCATCTCTCTTCCCGTGCAATCAAGAGTAATCATTGGCAGCTTGTAAGGAAATATTGTGCTTCCCAATATTTTCCATTCAACAATTGTACATTTGTAAGTTATCCACCACTCTAATGGAAGAAGGGTAGGCAGGACAGATGACCCCCAGGCAAGTCCAGGAATAAAAACTGGCTTAAAGAGGTTGCCTAGGTGGTTGGAAAGAATAACCTAGACTATAATGATGACAGAAGAGGGGGCAGAAGATCCATGCACCACTGAGTCTGGCAATGATGGCAACTCAGCCAGGGGTGGGCTCAGAATTCCAGACACAAAGTGCCCCCAAGTGAGGCTCCTTTTGAACTGGTTTGCTTTTTTTTTTCCTCTTTAATATGAAAATGTTTCAAACAGAGAAAAATTTAAGGAAGTTTATAGTGAATACCCATATCAATACCTAGATTCTACAATTAACCTTTTGCTACAGTTGCTTTATTACATATCTATCCCTTTATTCACCCATTAGCCCATCTTTTTAAAAAAATACATTTTAAAGTGAGTTGCAAATGTCAGTTCACTTCCCCCCAGTACATCCATAAGCATATCATTAACTGAAGTTCAATATTTGGGGTTTTTTTCCTCTTGAGGTTAAATTTATACACAGTGAAACACACACACACACACACACACACACACACACACACACACACACACACCTTAAATTGCTATCTGATGAATTCTGACAAAGGCATAAAACAGTGTAACCCAAACCCTTATCAAGACAAAGAACATGGCCATCATCTAGAAAGTTCCCTCATATACCTTTCCTTTCCTAACCCTAACCCTAACAATCAGAGACAATCATCATCTTGATTTTTTACCATCATAGATTAGTTTTATATATTCTAGAAAGTCAGGTAAATGGAATCATACTGTATTTACTTGGGCAAGTTTTCTATCACTCAGTATAACAACATTTTTACAATCTATCCAGTTATAGAAACCATGCTGTTATGTAGCTCATGTATCAGTAGCTCATTCCTTTTTATTGCTGAGTAGACTTCCATTGTATGAATTATCACATTTTGTTTATCCATGCACTTGTTGATGGATATTTCAATTGTTTCCAGTTTTTATGGCTATTATGAATAATTTTGTGTTTTTGGTTTGTTTTGAGGTTTTTTGTTTGTTTGTTTCTTTTTTTGTTTTATTTGGCTGCATCCTGCAGCTTGTGGGATCTTAGTTTCCCGACCAGGGATTGAACCTGGGCCGTCAGCAGTGAAAATGCAGCGTCCTAACCACTGGACCACCAGGGAATTCCCACTTATTATGAATAATTTTGGAATGACGGAAATATATAAGTTGACAGGTCTAAGTGGAATAGATCTGTCAACTCACAGATCCTGTGGTTAACCTTGTGGCTTACCTTGTTAAGTGAGAGTTTAGAGTTGAAATCCAAAACAACTCACAACTTCAAATGACTTACATTCAACAGTGTATATCCATTTTATTGCCTCATAAGGTAACACACAAAAATGAGAAGTAATTGACAAAAATAGAAATCATCATTTAATGTCACCCGAGGCCTGGGAGGGCAGAGTAAACATCTTTGTAGTCTCTGAGTCCTGTCCTCACCAGAAGGAAGAGTTCCCCACCACTGTCATTCTCACTTCTCCCACCAGGACCAGTTTTAGGGAAGGAAGCAGCCTCACCTAAAGCCAGGCTAAACTCAAGACCCTAGTGTTCATGTCCCAATTTTCCATATGCTGGTAGAAGTTTCTCTCGTGTCTTCTCAGAGGAAAATACATAAAATACCTCTATCATCTCCACACCCTCACCTCCCATTCTCTCCTCAACCCACTACAGTTCCACTGTCCAACGCCGTGTCAAATAAGATGAGCACTGAGACGTTTCCACTGGATTTGGTATCCATTGGTGATGTTAGAGAGGACAGTTTCAGTGAAGTGGTGGAGATGGGGAGGACTTGAGTACAGCCAGAGAGAGGAGGAGAGAACTGAGCTAAGGATAGGAAGAGAGGACCCTATGAGACAGGAGCTGGTGCAGCAAAGGAAGTTGCTGGAAATAGTCTTCACCTACTTTCCAAGTTCACCTGGAGCGAACCCAGCCTGGTCACCAACTTAGGTCTCAGGGCTGCTTCCTCTTCACTTCCCTCTGGGTAAGGAGCTCAGCACTCTCCCCAGACACCACTCAGTCTCATAATAGCACCAGCCATGTCTTCTGCAGCAGCCTGGACCTGGAGTGTCCTCCTCTGGTCCTTGCCCCAGCCAAGGAAGGAACTGTCCTACCTGGCTGCCAATGCCTTGGCAGGTATCATCTTTGCTCCCTTGAGGTCAATCATCCTCTGGTCTCGGGAATTCTCCCCTTCCCTCTTGACCCCTTCTGTCTGTCTCGTTCCAATCGCCTGAAGAGAGTTCACTTGCAAATTGCCAAGGCTGTTCTGGACTCAGGTGAAGCTGGGCTTCTTGCCTATTATTTTAAGCTACCAACCCAGGCTTCCTGGCAGGCTGAGACTTTAAGGCAGCTTTGCCATGTTCCCTGAAATCCACGAGGCTGCCTCTGAAGTTTCTTTGTAGGACAGATATGATTAACACAACCCAAGTCCTCCCACCCACTTTCTCCCTGGTAACCGATTCAAGTTTCTCCACCACTGCCACACACGATCCCCAACCCCACACCCTTAGTTGTGTGAGCTTTCGCACTCCTTAAGTGGTTGATATACAACCTCAATATGCTTTAAACATACGGTGACAACTCTGCAGGGACACCATTGTGAACACCAGCTATTGTACTATGATGTAATAAGATGATGCTATCATGTGATACAGACATCTAACTTGGTTTGTTCACACTATTTGGATCCAGAACATCATGGTTTCTTTGGCTATGTGTTTGTTTTTAATAGCTTCTTTCCTCATCTCTTTGCTATTATCAGCTTTCAGCCAGTGCTGCTGGCCACCCCAAATTCTAATTTGTTATTTCAAATGAAACATGTTGGAGACAGTACATAGGCTCTGAGTGATGACAGTATATGAGTGGGCATAGTGCCTGGAATAACCTAGGTACTCAAAATATGTTTTTAAATATTATGAACTGAAGAAAACTTTCCTGCTACAACACATAGGAAGTCTAGATAAAATACTGTACTATCCTTCCCCAAATTTTATAAAAGCACAAAGCTGGCCTTGAAAGAAAGAGAAACCCCCAAATTCCAGATGAGAAGAGGGAAATGAAAGCCAGGGCAGTAAATACACGCTGGTGCCATGGAGTTCCATAAGAGCTTCAGCACAGTGACTGCGACAGAGGCTTCAATACCCTCCCCACACACAGAAACTGCGGCCTCAGGCCCTTGCAAAGTGAGAGCTCAAACTGAGGCACGCTCATAGAGCTTGGAGCCTTAGAAATCTTTCCTGTTCATGAAAAGGGCACACAATGATACTGTTCACCAGCTCACTAAAGCAATAAGGATCCTTGCTGTCTGTTTGGGCTTTAAGCAGGTAAATCAAAAAAGACATCTATGACAAAATCAAGAATCTAAGCCTCTGTTCCTTGTAGATGTGAAGTGTGAGTCAATGCTACCTGTGCGTATAGAAAACTCAAGCTGAGAAACTAACATTAAAACTGGTCCAGGGCCTAGGAGACCCTGGAGCCTTGGCAAAAGTAAGTGTGAAATTGCTCTGAAGACTCCAGAGATCCCCACAGAGGGAAACAAGATCTAAAGATATACTCACAATAAAGAAAATGACTAGCTGAACAAGGAAATGAACTACCATAAGGAATGGTAGACAGATGCAACAAAGAGAAAGACTGTAACTTGACCACAGCAAATAACAGAAAGATCTGAAGGAGAACATAAAATAAAGATCCTGAAAATGATTAAAGAAATAAAAGAATAGACATAACCATGAAATTAAAGGATACTATGAATAAAAATCACCTTGATTTGAAATAATAATAATAACTTGTAAGAATAATAATAAAAACTTCTAAGAATAATCATGGAAATTTAGAATGAATTTAATAATTTAACAGCAAAACCTAAGTGAGGTAACTTCTATTAAAATGGGCAGCAGGAAGAGATTAGGAGAGAAAAAGGGAAAGGAACAAGGAACACTCAAAAGCAGGAGTATAGAGCCTCACCACTGCACTGTAAGCTCCCACAGCATGGGTCGCAGGACCATTTTCTATTTAAACTTACACGTCCAGTATCTATTCATCCAGTGTCTGGCATAGAAGACCTCAAAAAATGCTTGTTGAATGAATGCAGTAACAAACGAACAAGCTATAGGTAAAAGGATTAATGAATAATGGGGGGAAAGTCTTCTAGGCAGCATTCTGGACTAAAGTTTTTCTTTTCTCTCTTAAAGCCTGAGATAGCTACCCAGACTCATCCCATCTTAGCAATGGCAGACATTCATGGGCCAAGGACATTTACAGACATCCAGAGGCAGCAGACGTTTTTTGTAGAAAGCATTTTGCAGCAGGCCCCAGCTGAGTTCATTACTTCGTGGACTGCGGCTGCACTGAGAGCTACACTCCAGCCCCGCACGGATTTAAGAAAGAGTGCATGGGGACAGAAAGAACTAGGGCAATAGAAACACAGCTGGGGAAGTCCACGCAGAACAAAGGAGAAAGTCTCTGGTCTGAACACTGCACGGTTGCCTACAGAGGGCCAGAAAGCCCCCTGGCAGCAATGGCTCGACTTGTCAGTAGGGATGTGACCAGTCCAGCTTCTATCTGGATGAAACTGGTGGCGTGTGAATGTTGAATCAAGTCAAAACACAATGAAGAAACAGGGGACAAAAGATAAAGGGGAGCTGTTCCAGAATCAGCCCAGTGATGCATCCAGAGTTTCCTCACAGCTCTAACAGGAGAGAAGTCACAATTAATACAAAAAACCACCCTGTCGTGATGGCTTGAAATTGTGTTTGTGTCTATGATTAATTTAACTGTTTCCTAAATTATATATGCTCCACTTCTAATTTAGGATCCAGTCGTCCTCAGGTTTATCTTTTAGATGTTCCTAGCCTCCTCCACTCAGTAATGTCCCCACTGCTCTTAGATTACTCAAGAGGCTAAGCCCATGGAAGTAGTTCCCTCAAGTGGAAGCAATAGACTGTTGCTACAGGCAACACAGAACACACTTCATGAGAGGTTAACACTCCAGAATACCGGAAGGTGATGGTCATATTTCTGTGCCTGTTACATCCACTCTGGGAAATGAAACTTGTCAAATGACTTTCTGATCTTATTTATTCTATAAAATTAGAATGAATGGAAAGGGTTCGGGGCATGGGTTTGGGTATGAGGCTGACTAGAATTTGAAGCCGAGCTTTGCCAGTTACTAATTAAGTGACATTGGTGAGTTACTTAACTTCTCTGAACTCATCTGAAAAATGGGGCTAGAAGTATGAGCAGTTGGTAATAGTAGGTACAATGCAATTCCATGGTAGTGACCTCATGGGGCAGCTGGGAAGACAAAGCGAGATGATATACGTGATTATACCATTCTAAGTTACTCAAAGTACCACAAGGACCACTAAGAATGTTTATCATAGATGATTTGGTGCTCAACCACAGATAAAACTCCTGAGAGAACCGCACTGTTGAAGCAGGGCTTTAGGGTTTGGGAAAGCAAAAGCCCATGACAGAATTGCAGAACACATGGCCCCCTCCCACTCCTTGCCACAACCCTACAAAAAAAAAAAAAAAATCTAGGGCTTTCCTGGTGGCGCAGTGGTTGAGAGTCCGCCTGCCGATGCAGGGGACATGGGTTCGTGCCCTGGTCTGGGAAGATCCCACATGCCGCGAGCGGCTAGGCCCGTGAGCCATGGCCGCTGAGCCTGTGTGTCCGGAGCCTGTGCTCCGCAACGGGAGAGGCCGCGACAGTGAGAGGCCCACGTACCGCAAAAAAAATAAATAAAATAAAATCTAACCCAGATCCCAATGCATAGATATCACATGCCGAATAGTGGTATTTACACTTTCAAAGAATACACATGCTCAAATGCATACCAAAGTGTTAACAGAAGTTACCTCTAGGGTGTGTGATTCAGCGTTTGTAAGTATGAGCACGTCAGGGATTGAAGATCGTCAAAAATTCTTTGCTACTCCTCCCATCAAGAGGTGGCATCAATGCCCCGCTTGCTGCACTGAGCTCACTTTCGTGGCTTACTCGACAGAGAGCATTCAGGGGAAGTGATGTTCTGGGCCTTCCAAAGCTAAGTCATGAGAAGGCTTGCAGCTTCTGCTAGGTCTCTTAGGATGCTTGCCAGTTGCCATGGAAGGAGGCTGACCA